GCTGGGACTGCAGGTTCCTGCCACAACGGCCGGCTTTTTTTTTTTTTTTTATTATTGTAGTTGTCGTTGTTTGGCAGGTCCCAGGCCAGGTTCAAACCCACCAGCCCTGGTGTATGTGGCCAGTGCCCTACTCGCTGAGCTACAGGCGCCTAGCCACTCGGTGACTTTTTGTGTATGTGTACCCTTGATGGCCTGGGCAGTTTCATCATAGGTATTCTTAAAGTGAGCAGGATTTGAACCTCTTGATTTATGATCTTATGGGATTTTCTGGGACAAATGAATAGCATATCACTGCAGGTTGCTTATGGGGAAAGAAAATAATATTTTAGTAAATATTTTAGGTTTTGGGGACATAAGATCTCTGTCACAGTTACTGAACTCTGCTGTCATAGCACAAAAGGAGCCATGGACAGTAAGTGTGTAAATGGCTTGGTGCCCGTAGCTCAGTGGGTAGGGCGCCAGCCACATACACCAAGGCTGGCAGATTTGAACCTGGCCTGGGCCTGCTAAAACAACAATTACAACTGCAACAAAAAAATAGCCCAGCATTGTGTGTGGTAGGTGCCTGTAGTCCCAGCTACTTGGGAGACTTGAGGCAAGAGAATCGCTCAAACCCCAGAGTCTGAGATTGCTGTGAGCTGTGATGCCATGGTACTTTACCAAGGGCAACATAATAAGACTCTGTCTCCAAAAAAGAAAAAGTGTGTAAATGAGTGAAGATGGCTGCATTCTAATAAAACTTTATTTATAAAAACTGGCAGTGGGTCACATTCGTCCTGTCAGAAATAGTTGACGGACCAATGATCTAAAATACAGTGCCACAGAAAAGTTGAGAGCAAAAGTGTGGACGATATTTGTGTCAGACAAAATAGTGCTTGCTTTGGCAGCACATGCACTAAAGTTGGAATGATAGAAAGAGTGGCATAGCCCTTGTGCAAGGATGACAGGCAAATTTGTGAAGCATTACATATTTAAGCAGAAAAAAACATACAATGCATCAATTGAATTAAAAAAAAATTTAAGGGAATGTTGCTCTGTCACCCAGGCTGGAATGCAGTAGTATGATCATGGCTCACTACAATTTTGGACTCCTGGACTAAGCGATCCTCTTGCCTCAGCCTCCCAAGTATCTGGGACTATAAGCCTATGCCGCCACACTGGGTTAATTGTTTCTTACAGAGAATGGGATCTTGCTCAGTTGCCCAGGCTGTTCTCAAACTCCTACACTCTAGTGAACCTCCTGCCTCAAGCTCCCAAAGCTAAGATTACAAGTATAGTTACTGTGTTGAATTTTTTTTCTTTTTTTCCTGACCCATATTTTAGTATTATAAATTCTTAATGATAAAGAATGACAAGACATCTAATCGGCATGCTTCTGTTATACCAATACTACAGTGCTGAAATGTGTAACAATAAAGATTTTATGGAGAAACAAATCAGATTATCATAGGGGATTTGATTTAGCTTTTCCAGCCTTTGACAGAGCAAACAAAATAAGTAATGACATAGGACTTCAATAGCTTTATATATGGAATAACAAGATATTGTAGAAATAATGAATATTTTTTCCAGAAAACCTATTAGGCCCCAAGGAAATATCAGCCAAATACAAAAGGTAGAGATATATGCAGATTATACTGTTTCTTCTTTTTTATTTTTTTTTGGAGACAGAGCCTCAAGCTATCCCCCGGGTAGAGTGAGTGCTGTGGCATCACAACTCACAGCAACTTCCAACTCCTGGGCTCAAGCGAGTCTCCTGCCTCAGCCTCCCAAGTAGCTGGG